TCACGGAGCACAGATTGGAAGAAATGAATCGGTCCCAGAATTTTAAGTGCACCACTTCCATCCCACTAAACCAAGTACTACAGCTCACTAATCATGTCTGTGTAAGACTTTGTATAACTGTATAACCGCGTCTGTGGTAGAACATGGACTGAAAAAGGTCGCCCCTCGACCAGTCTGCAAGCAGCCTCAGTTCTACATTGCTTGCAGGAAACAGAAAAAATATCGGCCGAATTCATGGTCACATTTTAGTTAAGAGGAAAAAGCGACTGTTTGCTATAAATCCTTAAGGGTGATAGTCGCGGTTCTTCAATATAGATCCCACGGTCATACGGCATTTCCTCTTCGTTTTCCCCTTTTTGGCGTGGCAATCAGTCTTTTTTTTCTGTATTAAATAATGTACAATATAAAGATCATATTTACAACAATTTGCAGGGGAAAATACTAGTAATTGGACAGTTTGAGACAAACATTTTAATTGAGGAATATCGATATTAAAATTGTAATTGTGGAATATCGATAATTGGAAACATAGTTTTGAGCTCATGTGCTGTTCATCGCCTTGGAGCATCTCATATCATCACCACCACCACATAGTACAGCTCGGACGCGGACATCACCACACAGAAAGAACTTTTTCAGTGTCATGGTAGTTAACAAATGGAATGCATTAGGCAGTGATGTGGTGAAGGCAGACTCCATACACAGTTTCAAATGTAGATATGATAGAGCCCAGTAGGTTCAGGAACCTGTACACCAGTTGGTTGACAGTTGAGAGGCGGGACCAAAGAGCCGAAGCTCTACCACTGTGTGGTACACACCACGCCACCACCACCACACATAATGGTCAGGGACCAGTAGGCCAACAACAAAACGGTCTTAAGGCTATACCTCTCCCAGTTACCCTTTCAATGTATCCTCCGAGATTTTGTTAAGTGAAAGTTTTGATCCCCAACACCTTGACTCTTTGTATGTATGCATGTATGTATATATATATATATATATATATATATATATATATATATATATATATATATATATATATATATATATATTATTAAATATGACAGAAAAAGTGAGATTAATAATTCTAACGAATTTTCTCAATTTTCAATTACCATCGACAGTGAAAAGAAACATAAGAAATATTGAGAAAATTCGTGTTAGAATTATTAATCTTACTTTTTCGGTCATATTTAATAATATATGTCTACAGGACTGCTACCAAAATATACTAGTATATATACAGCCAAAATACAAGTCATAAATACACCACCGCCTAAGTAAGACAATAATGAGTAACAGTGGGCCAGCCAGAGGCTTAGGCCCGCCGCAGGAATATCCCCCTCACAAAACCTAATTACCAGAACTGCTCTACTAAGCTTAGAAAGTAGGATTTTGTATATACAGTACTTTCACTGTTTCCTTGGAAATTAGTACGTCTTTCACAACATTACCATATTATATTGATAACATGAATGGCGACGTTTTACTGATGTGTGACAGTCTTCTTGTTAGATAAGTTTACTAAGTCAGTTGAGGTTAAAATTGAAAACAAATTTAGCATTTTTGAATCAAATACAAATATCTTTCAATGTACAAAAAATCTTCAAGATACAATATTCGTTATGGAAATTTAGTTTGTTAGGGAACGATGATAGAGCGAAGGTTATAGAGCACACGATAGAGCGAGGGTTGGGGGGGGGGGGACAGGAGAGAGGGAGAGGGAGAGAAAGAGAAAGAGGCGCGTGGCTTGAGTTTCCCCTGGCCGGCCAGCCCGCCAACTGACCGTCTTCCTGGAGCTTTAATTTCAAATCTTGGGTGATGGCTTCCCTCCCTCCCTCTTTCCATCCCACCTCTCTGGGGATTTACACGCTTAATGGGCTTCTGTTGGAAATCTAAGCATAGAAGTTGCATTCATGACAACAGTGTTTCATGTTACGTTCTTTGAAAATCTAATTTCGTTTGTTTCTTATGTCTATTCATCAGTTTGTATACTTCAGTCATATCGCCTGCAGGAAAAAATAGGTAAGTTAACACAGGAGAAATTACATGAGGCACTAAAAACCTCATGTCACTGGAACACCAGAAACGGGGTGACATGATCACTACATTAAACATTCTCAGAGAGGTTAATGGCAGGTAAAAGTAACCGATTAAGCCATATGTAGATATTGGAAAACGTTTTCTCAGTGTCAGAGTCGTAATGAAGTGGAATAACATGGAAAGTGAAGTAGAGGCGTAAAGCTCATCCCCATGTAAACACAATCGCGCGCACGCACGCACACACACACACGCTGACTCCATACACAGTTTCAAATGTAGATATGATAGAGCCCAATAGGCTCAGGAATCTGTACACCAGTTGAGAGGCGGGACCAAAGAGCCAGAACTCAACCCCCGCAAACACAACTAGATGAGTACAACTAGGTGAGTACACAACACACACACAAACACTTTCACACACACACATACACACACACACACAAAGGGCCTGGTAGCCTGGTGGATAGCGTGCAGGACTCGTAATTTTGTGGCGCGGGTTAGATTCCCACACCAGGCAGAAACAAATCCTTTCACCCTGAATGCCCCTGTTACCTAGCAGTAAATAGGTACCTTGGAGTTAGTCAGCTGTCACGGGCTGCTTCCTGGGGTGTGTGTGGTGTGGAGAAAAAAAAGTAGTTAGTAAACAGTTGATTGACAGTTGAGAGGCGGGCCGAAGAGCAAAGCTCAACCCCCGCAAACACAACTAGGTGAATACACACACACACACACGGGGGGGAATTGACAGGGTGAACAAGGATGGATTATTTAACACGGGTGGCACACGCACAAGGGGACACAGGTGGAAGCTGAGTACCCAGATGAGCCACAGAGACATTAGAAAGAACTTTTTCAGTGTCAGAGTAGTTAGTAAATGGAATGCATTAGGAAGTGATGTGGTGGAGCCTGACTCCATACACAGTTTCAAATGTTGATATGATAGATCCCAGTAGGCTCAGTAATCTGTACACCGGTTGATTGACAGTTGAGAGGCGGGACCAAAGAGCCGAAACTCAACCTCCACAAGCACAACTAGATGAGTACACACACGCACGCGCGCGACAAGATGGCAACATTCGTGACAGACCAGAATAAAGTTTGCGGGTGCCGGAGTTTAGGTGACTACCCTTCAGCACTGTACAAAGCAATGAATGGGAGGTGTGGGGGAGGAGGGTGCAACACGCCCCACTGGCCTCCACCACCTGGTTCACTACACTGCCTCTCAATGACCAACACGCTCCTCGCCCTCAAGCCGGCCGCTGGGACGCCTCACACAACTTTCTGAGTCACGCTCATGGGCGTACAGAAGAGACATGGTAGTGAGGTCCTTCTCTTCTCCAATAATTTGTGGAATTATTCGCCACGAATAATTGTAATTTTTTTAACATTTAGTCTTATGAGATATAGCACAGTGGCTTAGCATTCGGGACTGTGTATACGCCTCTACTTCCTGTCTTCAGTGTTATCCCTCACACTGAAAAAAAAAAATCCTTTTTATTTATTTTTTTATCTCCTTGCCTAGTATGGGCGTTCAGTTTCCCGTTCTCTCCACTTGCCTTGGTCACACATTTTTTCAGGTAGCCTACTTCTTGACTATCGTTTCTCTCCTCATAAGATATACATTTATTTTTGTCTCCCCTCATAGTTTAGACTAGATGGTAAATCTCTGGACTTTCTTAATTTTTTTTTTGTACTTACAAATATGATTTTGCCGAAATCGGGCTCCTGTTCATGGACTCCTGATGTTTACTGGCCTTGTGTGACCTCAGTAACCTCATTGTGTTTGCGAGGTCAACTTCATCTGCTGGGCCAGCCATCTCAGAGGTAACTCACCCGTGTGCTTACAGCATGGGCATCAGTTACACCTTGTAATTAACTCTTTGTGGTCCTTAAGATCATTCCACCCATTCATGACTCTTCGCACAATTGGTTTATCCATGTTGAAGTTTCTACTTTTTGTTAAATTAAATAAGTATCCTCTGATCCTAGATATGCCAAAAGTGATTTGTCAATAAACATTCCTTGACGCATATGAAATTGATTATCATGTGCCTGCCCCCTACGTATTTTCTTGATTTCTTGCGGTGTAGTAATTCAGATTTGTTAGTCATCTATATAACTCATATCTTTCAGTTCCGGCATGTTACGAATAATAGTTTCAGCACTTGTTCTATCCATATGAGCAAATTGTCTAGAACTTTGGTATGTAATAGGATGTGTGATTTCAACAGTCGAAGGTTGTCGACACGGAATATGTCGAGAAGTGTATTGGGCTTCTCGATGCATATACAGTGAGGGTTTAATTTATTTCTATACTATATTTAGTTCTAAAGTAAGCTTACTGCTTGAGCAGTAAGCTGTTGTGGCGGCCTTAATCCCCGCTTCTCAGAGGTTTATAGGCCTTAAGCCTAAGAACACAATATCCACAACAAGAGCCTGCATACTACATACCCGTGTGTCATTACCTGAGGAATAATGAGGCTAATTTATGAAACGTATACTAAGGTCCTCCCGAGCACTGGCATCATACACTTCCCAGCGAGGTGCACAGCCTCAAACCATATGACGGCGTAGTTCATACACACGCACAGCCTATCCTCCAACACTATTAGTACTTATAGCCACTCTTTGGTCAAACGTGCAAAATTGGACTGATGAGCCTTCTAAAAAGTTCACGTTTTGTATTACTGAACTAGCGTAATCTGTCCAAGCAATCTTAGGCCAAATGTAGAATATGTGCTACTCTAGGCCTAGGACTGTTTAATTTGTGTTGTGACCCTCTACACAACTAATAGTATATTAGGTGGATATAAATAAGATGTTGGATATATCACATCAAGATGTAAAATAAGTTAAGATAAGAACTGACTGTGTAAGAGAACTGTGGAACGGTGGTACAATAATGAATTGGTTTAAGGTCTACAGGAACTTGCTACAATTTGTCCCATACATTCAATACGTGTGTGTGTGTGTGTACCTAGTTGTGCTTGCGGGGGTTGAGCTCTGGCTCTTTGGTCAAGCCTCGCGTGTGTTTGTATGTGTGTGTGTGTGTGAGCGCAATCACGAGCAAGCGCATACAAGCCCCTATGTCCATGACTAAGTTCCCATATTCACGGTGCAAACAGAAACACGCGTACTGACAGAGTTCCAGCACAGGTACATCCACTAACAAGACAAAAAGATTCCGTGGGGGGTGCAGGGGTTTAGGAAAAAGTGGGTGTTGTGTCAGGGTGAGCGAGCCACTTGCTGGCTGGGTGTATTGTGTAGACACTGGTGGCGGTCGGGAGAGGGAGAGGGGGAGGGTGTTGGATCCTTCAGCCTCTCCAACACGTGCACCACCACGCAACACTCACCCTGGGAACTCTCAGGCAACACTCTACCCGCAGGTAATACCACTCTCACACCCCTCACAGGCAACACCCCTCTCGTTGGCAACACTCCTCTCGCTGGCAACACCCCACTCGCTGGCAACACTCCTCTCGCTGGCAACACCTCACAACACAACATTCCACCACTGCAATAACAACAATGACTTACATTAATCTTCAGAGACTTCAATAAGATAACACATTGTCGTATATATGTAGGTATAGGCAAACCTTAAGTATACTCCCCCCCATGTAAACCCAAGAGCAAAGCAAGCTGCGTCTTGGATACAAGAAGTGAGAGTATCTTTACTCTTCAGATACAGATACCTCTGTATCTTCAACTCAACCTTACTATGGGAGTGAGTTTCGTGATCTTCAACCTTACTGTGGGAGTGAACTTCGTGATCTTCAACCTTACCGTGGGTTACGCCCACCTTAACCACCATTTTGAGCCATCCTGTGAATCAAACTTGGTGGGGGCATTCGAGCGAGAGGGAAAAATGCTGTTTTTATGTCTGCGTGCACGTGACGCGCACGCACACGCATGCACACACATACCCCCCACCCTCCCCCCATACATACACACATACGTACGCACGAATGTATACATAAACACACACGCACGCACTCTCGGACACAAACATTCAAAACGTGGTTGTGGTGAACAAATGATAAGAAAACACTTTAACTGTTGGATTAACGTTCGACACTGCAAGCACATCTATGTCAGTATGTAGGTCAATATAATCCCCCCTCCTCCCTCCATACACACACACACACACACACACACACACACACACACACACACACACACACACACACACACACACACACACACACACACACACACACACACACACACACAGGGTCTGGTAGCTGAGTGGACAGCGCACAGGACTCGTAATCGTGTGGCCCGGATTCGATTACCAGACTAGGCGGAAACAGATTTGCAGAGTTTCTTTCACCCTGAATGCCACTGTTACCTAGCAGTAAATAGGTAACTGGGAGTTAGACAGCTGTTACGGGCTGCTTCCTCGGTGTGTGTGGAAAAAAATGAGTTAGTAGTTAATAACAAGTTGATTGACAGTTGAGAGGCGGGCCGAAAGAGCAGAGCTCAACCCCCGCAAGCGCAACTAGGTAAATACAACTAGGTGAATACATTTAAGTGAGCACCCCGCTCGATGTTTCCCTCCCAACGGCCCCTCCCAGGGACTTTTAAATTCAAACTCGGGAGGCGCAGGCCAAGGAAACCTACCAGGAGGGAGGCGTCCATATGTGGGGGGCTGGAGGGGGTGGGGGGTCGGTTATGGGTGGTCGGGGAGGAGGGATGCTGTGTGGTGGGTTGCTAGGGGTGGTGGGGAAGGTCTTCTCCTGGCCGACGGCTGGGTGGTGGGTTGGGCAGTGGGGGATGATGGGATTTATATATATATGTAATATATATATTAGAGAGAGAGAGAGAGAGAGAGAGAGAGAGAGAGAGAGAGAGAGAGAGAGAGAGAGAGAGAGAGAGAGAGAGAGAGAGAGAGAGAGAGAGAGAGAGAGAGAGAGAGAGAGAGAGAGAGAGAGAGAGAGAGAGAGAGAGAGAGAGAGAGAGAGAGAGAGAGAGAGACTCTTCTTCTAAATAAATAAATGTTTATTCATATACATACATTCAAAATGAGTTACAAACTGAATGTTGGGTTTCTAGATAGAACTAGTATATACTATGTCTAAAGCCACTAATACGTACACTGTTTCAGGCAACACCTCACATCTTTCTCACACCTCTCAGTCACGCCCATGAGTTGTGAAACATGAGACGTTTCCACTACTCAGAGCTGCAATCTCAAAATCTCTATGCGACTCTAACTCCTCTTATGATCAGAAAACACACCCAAAATAAAAATTGTAACAGTTTCAGTGTTTAGTTGTAAAGTATAGCTTTCCTTTGTTATGGGTAGGCAATTGAATATCACTGTATGCACCTGTAATTTAACACGCTCCTGTGAGAAGAGGGTAGGGACTTCTGTTTCAGTGAAAAGGCACAGGTGTTGACTCAGTAATGTGGTGAACAGCTTGCGCTGGTACACCCTGGATGCATCACCAGGATATCCTCAGGAACACGAGACATCCTGGTTGATCCAGCACTTCTTGCAGGAGCAGGATATTGGGGATTGTTAAGTTTATTTTTGATTGTATTGCAATCCTCAGTTCTGATCTTTCTCGTCAGTTTAGTGTCACCAGCAAGCATTGATAAAAATGAGCTTACTTTCTCTGTGGTGCACCAGTATGTGTATAATAGTTCCATTCAACATTTCAAATGGTGCATCCCTCACAGAAACGTATGTAAACGTTTTGCTCAAATTAATCACTTGTACTGATCCTTTCCCATTAGGTAAACTTATAATTTCTTCTTTCCATAAAGGGTCCCCTTCACCAAACTCAGCACTCTTTCCATTACACCACCACCAGCCTGCTGCTCTTGTTTACACAGGAGTCGCTTGTGAGGAAAAATGACGAAAACTGTTAATCTGCTGAATTTCAAACCTTTGATTAAAACCAGATATTTTTTTTTTACAAATTTGGAGCGTTTGTAAATTGCATATAGAAAGGTTAGTGTAGAGTCCTTATATCTAAAAATGTGCAATTACATTTGTAGACTAAAACTACAGATAAAATTAAGACAAAAAACAGGACAAAAAACAAAACAGGACAGGACAAATCACAGGACAAAAAACAATAATCGAGACTACTTTTAAAAGGTCGATTGAGTCCCATATTCCCATTGAAATACAAATTGAGAGGATTCCCTTTCCCAGTGATGTAGGATAACTTAGAGAGCTGTGATGGTGTGGCATTTCCCGTGGCAGCTCTCCAGAGGGATTTGGTGGCTTCGATTGCCCAGATAAGTCGAACTTACACTTATCCACTTTTTTTTCTTGTCGTTTGTCGACCTATTTTCTTTTCAACAACCGATTATGTGAGGTTTTTATTTTCTAATTGACATGTCTTGTGAATTTATATATATATATATATATATATATATATATATATATATATATATATATATATATATATATATATATATATATATATATATATATATATATATATATATATATATATATATATATATATATATATTCTGAGATCATTGTGTGACTAACTTTTGCTACCGTCACCCAAAGCATGGCTGTATGATGAACACAAATATAACATAACTTGTTGAACACAAGTGTAAATTGTTTAGCCAGTTCATTCAGCCGTTACGTGACTAACCTTTCCGCCACGGCCCAGTAGATGGGTCAGAGTTCCATAAATAAACTAATTAATCCATTTGTTTACTTTATAAGGTTGCTGGGTGCACATCCTAGCTCTCATTTCTTCCCTTTTTCCTTCTCATTCCTCTAACGATAACATTCTTCTCCTGCTCCCTCTACGATAACATTACTACACTGCTCCCCATAACGATAATATATTCCTCCCCCTGCTCCCCCATATAATAACAGTTCTGCCCTACTCCCCCTACGATAACATTCCTACACTGCACATCCTACGATAACATTCCTACACTGCTCACCCTACGATAACATGCATACCCTGCTCCACCTACGATAACATTCCTACACTGCTCACCCTTACGATAGCATTCCTCTCCTCCTCCTTCCCCCCTCCCAGTTCTCGAGATAAGATTCCTCCTCTGCGATAACATTCCTCTCCAGCTCCTCTACGATAACATTCCTTCACTGCTCCCCCCTACAATAACATTTACATTATGGTTAAGAATAACAGCATCACTCCTGGTTGTCTCCACATCCGGACACCTCACAATCATCCGGACACCTCACGATCATCCGGACACCTCACAATCATCCGGACACCTCACAATCATCCGGAGATCTTTCTGTCAAATATCCTTTACGTTGATGTGAAATGATAATAACAGCTTACGACTTTTACCGGAACCTTAGGTAAATACATAAAGAACAGTATTTTACTCTATATTTTATTTATTTATCTACCATCGTTGTTTTCCCCATGGAAAAAAAAATTTAACGCAAGAATTATAAACGGAATAATCATGTATTAAAATATCATATTAGATATTGTAATCCTCTTGAATTACTCATTTGTCTTTAATGGGGGGGGGAGTAGAAATAGCCTAAGCTACTCTATCCCTTTGAAATGTATTTTCTTGTCTTAGTAAACATACTTGAACTTGTCTTTAATGATATACTGTACTGTATTGCTACAGCTCTGGGCTTGAATTTCAAAATAGAAACTCAGGTGTGGCGATGGAGGGAGGCGGAGGAAGGGCAGGCGAGGGAGGCGGAGGAAGGGCAGGCGAGGGAGGCGGAGGAAGGGCAGGCGAGGGAGGCGGAGGGAAGGCAGGCGAGGGAGGCGGAGGGAAGGCAGGCGAGGGAGGAGGAGGGAAGGCAGGCGAGGGAGGCAGAGGGAAGGCAGGCGAGGGAGGCGGAGGGAAGGCAGGCGAGGGAGGAGGAGGGAAGGCAGGCGAGGGAGGCGGAGGGAAGGCAGGCGAGGGAGGCGGAGGGAAGGCAGGCGAGGGAGGCGGAGGGAAGGCAGGTGAGGGAGGCAGAGGGAAGGCAGGCGAGGGAGGCGGAGGAAGGGCAGGCGAGGGAGGCGCAGGGAAGGCAGGCGAGGGAGGAGGAGGGAAGGCAGGCGAGGGAGGAGGACGGAAGGCAGGTAAGGGAGGAGGAGGAAGGGCAGGCGAGGGAGTAGGAGGAGGGAGAACAGAGTCCCCCCCCCAAAAAAAAAAAAAAAAAAAAAAAAAAAGACTAGTGAGCCGCTCACACGCTTCATGGAGGGAAGCTAGCAGCTAGCAGCCCTCGTCACTATAATTTGCTTTGTGCTCATTGAGCGCCAGTAGGCTACCACATCAAACTTAATTCCTTGCTTAAGTTTGCTTTGGGTACTCCAGATACCGGGGAGATATCGTATTATACCAAAAAAATGCTACAAGGTTCACTATAGCTACACCTGTAGACCCTCACGCCTTACCTATCACTGACAAAGGGAACGGGAAGCCTAGCTCTTCATGACCGGCCTACTTTATTGTACTTGCTGCCTTATAATTGAACTATTCTAACTTTCAAATTCTTCTTCCAATCTAGCTTTAAGAGTCGTGTGTGTGTGTGTTGCCTGGAATTTCTTGAGCCCTCTTGAGTTTATTTTATCACGAATATATTTATTTAACTATTTATAAATATTTCAAAGTATTTATAAATAAATAGTTTGTCAATTTTAAACTATTTCGTGCTTGTGCATAGTTTAAATAACTTATAATGCGTTTAATACCTATCCCCCTTGCTGTAAGCGGTGGTGCTGTCAGTAACTACCTATCCCGCTCATATAATAGGCTCTGGAGCTTAGCCGCAATATTCGCATAGCTAAACACGTTACCGCATTAAAATGTGGATATTAATAATGCTCGTGGTGCTAAAATCCAAGAAAATTGTGGTAATTTTGATGTTTAATCCCGAACAGAGTTCTGAATTGAATAGTAAACTCTCGGAGCATAGGCCTACCCTGAGGCAGTGTATGGGACCACTGCTCCCAATATGGCATCACTGAGCACACAAGCCGCCTTACCAGTTTAGGAATTTATTTGTATTTATTTATTTTTAATCTAATTAGGTGGAAGGTGAACTTTACATCATCCATTTAATGTAATGAAGTTTTTTCTTATGTTTTTTTCTGCTTACATTTTGTGCGACACTATGTATTATATATTAACAGGACTAGTGAAGTATATGATCAGTATATAATGTTTCAATTTTTGTCTACATTAAAAATATATATTCTTTTTTTGTTAACTATACAATTCTACACAGGGATCTTGAAGAAAGTTTCAAGATCCGCGCCCTGAGACAGACAGATTGTGGTGTGATACGGCTTTATTCTGTCATAAAAATGTGAGGGATCAGACTAGGCCTATTGAACTGTTGTGGCTTCTCGGGGGTCTGCTTGTCACCTGCTAATATGGATGTATGATATACCTGCTTACTCCTCTCCCTCCCCTCACTACCTGCACCCACACGTCTGGCCATCTCCTCACCTACTGCACTTTGGCCTTGCCCGCACCTTCATTACATACTGGGATCACTCACACTCTCACTTCATTACACTGGCTTTACTACGCACTCCTCTCATCCTCACTGCTATGACCCACACCCTCACTACACACTGCTATGATCCACACCCCTCACTATACACTATCAGCCACACCCTCACTACACACTGCTATGATCCACACCCCTCACTATACACTATCAGCCACACCCTCACTACACACTGCTATGATCCACACCCCTCACTATACACTATCAGCCACACCCTCACTACACACTGCTATGATCCACACCCCTCACTATACACTATCAGCCACACCCTCACTACACACTGCTATGATCCACACCCCTCACTATACACTATCAGCCACACCCTCACTACACACTGCTATGATCCACACCCCTCACTATACACTATCAGCCACACCCTCACTACACACTGTTCTCATCCTCAACATCCTTGCCCGAAACGCTATGCGTACTAGTGGCTTTAGGTATGTATGTACTAGATCTTCAATGTATGTACCTTTAGCTGAATAAAAAATCTAAATCTAAATCTAAAATCACTACGTACCCTACCCACACCTATTCTAGCCACTGGCAACTATGGCGTTACCCTCACTATCCACCCCTAAGCTATTTTCACTCAGACCCATAAACTGTCCTCACCCACCTGCTGGTGAAATAACGTACGCGTGTGGTAAATGCATTAGCGGTTCCATGTTTCAGCGCCTCCAACAGTAGTTTGGTCTCTAACAGTGGCGTGTGTGTAATAGAGCCGCCTCGACAGAGAGAGTGAGAGAGAGAGAGGGAGTGAGAGTGAGAGAGAGAGAGGGAGTGAGAGTGAGAGAGAGAGAGGGAGTGAGAGTGAGAGAGAGAGAGGGAGTGAGAGTGAGAGAGAGAGGGAGTGAGAGTGAGAGAGAGAGAGAGAGAGTGAGAGAGAGAGAGAGAGAGAGAGAGAGAGAGAGAGAGAGAGAGAGAGAGAGAGAGAGAGAGAGAGAGAGAGAGAGAGAGAGAGAGAGAGAGAGAGAGAGAGAGAGAGAGAGAGAGAGAGAGAGAGAGAGAGAGAGAGAGAGAGAGAGAGACACACAAAGCGACAGACAGACAGACAGACAGACAGACAGACAGACAGACAGACAGACAGACAGACAGACAGACAGACAGACAGATCCAAAGTAGGTAATGCATTTGTATTACTAATTGCATAACTAGCCACAAGACTTAGCTAAATGAACTATGAGGCTACAGTACGATTCCGTCTTCAGTGAACCCCTAAAACACTAAAAATTGATAACCCAAACGAATTCTCATGTAAAAACAACTGAGATAGCACCACTCCATAAAGGAGGGAATAAAGCAGAGGCAAAAAATTACAGACCTATATCACTAACATCATACAGCATAACAATCTTTGAAAGAGTGCTAAGAAGAAAGATCACAAGAAAACATGGAATCACAGCATCTCAATCATTCTTGTATGAAGAAATTGAGGGCCATCGTACATATATTGACGTAAAGGGCAATTAGAAAGTAGAAATCGGTACTACTGAATTTGGACAAACCGGAAAGGGTTTTTGTACTGAAGTTTGCAAAGAAAACTTAACCTAACCTAACCTTCCTAGGCCTAATACACGCTATCTGAGGATTAATATAGCACATATATGTGGTATATTAGGCCTAGGAACATTTAAATATGGTTTTAGCTTTATTTTTTCGGACTATAAAGTGAATAGTACCAAATTAAATCTAACTCTCCATTACGTCTATGTATGTACGACGGTGCACATATTTACAAAAAGTGCTATCTGAACAGGAGGATGATTCGTATATCAGGTGTAACCACGATACATTAGTGTGTGTATTCTCTGAGATGTGTACTACAGTATTAATCATACAAACCAAGATTGTGGTTGTGTGATGGGAGGGGTGGTGGGACACGGCTGCCACATTTACCAGGGCCTGGCGTTATTATTGTGTAGTGGTAGGCAGGCCTGGCCTTAGGCTACCACCATGCGTCTCCAGCCTTCGGTCTTCCCCGCACGCTTCGTTTTACTCTCTGAAATTAAATCAAGCGAAAAAGCATATTGATTCTGCAGCTTAAAGGAAGAAAAATATGTAGCATTCATATTCTGAAACTTATCCAAACAGGTGAAATGTATGATTTTTATGAGCAAATCATAATTTTTTACAAATCAACGGAAAAAAAGCAGCGACTTCGTACGGAGGTTATCGTTCGCGTCCGTTGTCTTCAAGCAAACGGTATTCCGAGTCTTTTGGTTTATAGATGAAAAGAAGTGAATGCTTGTCTCTCAACCCTTGCCCAGGGGTAATAATTGTTGACCCACCGTCGCTTACGTCTGTAAAGGGGTAAATCTTGACCCCCTTCTCTCCAACCAACCACTGATTAAGTAGACTGCGTTCGCTTACAGTAGGCCTACACTGCATGGGTTTTCCCCTTACCTACTACTGCCCCAGTTCACATTGCTGCTGCTGTCACTATAACTATGAATGTACGAACAAGCCTGAATGGTCCCCAGGACTATATGCAACTGAAAACTCACACCCCAGAAGTGACTCGAACCCATACTGCCAGGAGCACACTGCTGGCGTACAGGATCCCTTAACCGCTCGACCAACACGAGTATATATATAAATTAATGTATATATATAAAACTTGCATTACGGGTTATTCATTCCCGTGCCGCCTTTTGGGTGGCTTAATCTTCATCAATCAATCAATCTATAACTTGTAGTTGTTTCATGTGCATTTAAGATGTTTATTGTCTTATGTCTATTAGTTTTAACGAGAATCTTTTTAAATGTCAATATTCTGTCCACTCGTATTATAGGATTTTATTCAAAATAGTGAAAAAAACGAAAATCTGTACCCTTCTTTATCTTCAGCCATATTATATTTTGATTGTATCAATGTTTTGCTTCCAGTTGTGTTGCGAGTATTGGACCTCCTTGCAGGCATGAGCTCCACAAGGAGTAACACTGTGTGACCTGATATTCTGAAGAGAACCACTGGCAACACTCGTAATGGGCAACACTAATTCTACTATATAATGAATTTTCTAATAATTGTCTTCATACTGTGTTGTTGTGATTACTACTTAAACATTTTCAATAACCACAAAATTAATATAAGTGCTGCTGTTGCTTCTGCAATGACCATCATCACTAATACTAGTGTTGCTGTTGCTACTAAAGCCACCATCACTTATAGCACTGCTACTACAACCAGAATCACTAAAGATAGGCTGCTACTGCTGCTGCTGGTTTTGTGTTGAGGCCTATCAACCGCGGGAGGGTTATTAAGGCCGGCACAATAGCTTACTGACCAACCAGCCAGTACATTTGTCCTGGACTCAGTTCCGAACTAAAGAAAACTCAGTGCAAATACACCAAGAAGCAGAATACACACACACACACACACACACACACACACACACACACACACACACACACACACACACACACACACACACACACACACACACACACACACACGCACACACACACACACACACACACACACACACACACACACACACACACACACACACACACACACACACACACACACACACACACACACACACACAAGGGAGTACTTAAACAACAGGAAGCAGAGTTATTGTGAGGGGTGAAAACTCAGACTGGCGTGTTGTCACCAGCGCAGTCCCACAGGGTTCTGTATTCAGACCTACCCTGTTTCTGATATACAGTACGTGAATGATCTTCCAGAAGGTATAGACTCATTCCTCTCAATGTTTGCTCATGATGCAAAAATTATGAGAAGGATTAAGACAGAGAAGGACAGCAAGAGGCTACAGGATGACCTGGACAAACTGAAGGAATGGTCCAACAAATGGCTACTAGAGTTTAGTAACTATTTGTGCAAAGTGATGAAGATAGGCGAGCAAGTGAAATGTGATGAAGATAGGCATAGGGAGCAGGAGGCTAAACATAAGTAAATCTGGGGGTTGATATCAAACCAGACCTGTCCCCCTGAAGCCACATCAAAAGGATAACATCAGCGGCGTAGGCAAGGCTGACGAACATAAGAACTGCCTTCAGAAACTTGTGTAAGGAATCACTCAGAACCTTGTATACCTCATATATCGGACCAATACTAGAATATGCGGCTCCAGCGTGGAGTCCCCATCTAGTCAAACACAAAACGAAGTTAGAAAAGGTTCAGAGGAACGCCACCAGGCTAGTCTCCGAGCTGAGAGGAATGAGCTATGAGGAAAGATTACTGGAACTGAACCTCACGACACTGAAAAACAGAAGAGTTAGGAGAGACATGATCACTACCTACAAAATTCTCAGAGGAATTGACAGGGTAGATAAAGATAAACTGTTTAACACGGGTGGTACGCTAACAAGGGACACAGGTGGAAACTTGAGTTCACAAATGAGCCACAGGGACGTTAGAAAGAAATTTTTCAGTGTCAGAGTAGTTGACAAGTGGAATGCATTAGGCAGCGATGTGGTGGAAGCAAACGCCATACATAGTTTCAAATGTAGATATGATAGATCCCAGTAGGCTCAGGAATCTGTACACCAGTTGATTGACAGTTGAGAGGCGGGACCAAAGAACCAGAGCTCAACCCCCGCAAGCACAACTAGGTGAGTATACACACAGTGTGTGTATTCTGTATATATCCCTACAGCTGCTGCTACTACGACAACCATTACTAATAGTACTGCTAGACTCATTTCTGTTGGTACTATAATTACCATCATCACTCATATTACTACTGCTGTTACACTGGTAAGGGGTGCATAATAAATAACTACTGCTGATGCCACCACCCACCAACACAAAGATTGCTGTTAATGTTGGTATTGAGACCACCATATTACCATTTATGTACCTACTATCACAGATGCTGCTAGAAAGAACAGTAATATTGATAAATTTTTTGGAGTGATATACTTCATTAATGTGTGACTTGAAGCATCGGTGCGAGTACTCTGATAGTAATAGCGATTCTTAATATTATAGAAATTCACTTACTCATGACATATCAATGAACTAGAAACAGATACAAAAAAAAAAGTGACTCCAAGCACAATTTCTAGAACCATAATTGTTCACTTATGTTGGGATTTGCTCCCGGAACCGAGTACTGGAACCGGTTATTCAGTGCCGAGTATGTGTGTGTGTATTATTCATTTGGGTGAGTGGATGATTATGTTTACATTTTTAACGTAGGCATGATGCGCCAAGAGGTAGAGGTGGGGCTCTCTCCGATCTCCTTGTTGCGCCTCCAGATAAGAAGAATTATTAGGAGTTAGCGATATGCCAATATGACTTTACGGCACATGGAAGGGATATGAAAACATGGAACCGATATATGAAGACAAGCAGCTGGGATATTAGGACGGATGGACAGAACGGTGCCCAACATCTTGCGACCGTTGGGGATCGAGCACCGACCTAGCTACACCGACCAATCCAAGTGGATGGACATTTTTCCCCCCCTCCAGATCAATAATTTATCAATCAGTTTTAGAAAATTAACTGACAAGTGTAATTTAGTAGAAACAGGACTCCGGCAGGAGCAGAGACGCTAGGCTTGACTGTCCGTCCTGTGTCCACGATCACTCATTACAAGACCACAGCCATTCGTCCTCTCTGCTCTCCTACCCTAGTCTCATTTTTTTGGCCAGGTTGTCGGGGATGGGGGGGGAGGCAGGGGGTAGGGAGACTGTGTCACCTCTGACGGGGAAATATGACAAGTGAAACCCGTGTCCAGGACGAAGAATTAATCTTGTGTGTGACTCTTTTACCCCCCAACAGAATGGCAGGTATGTTTGGGTCCAAGAGTTGGTTGTGGGGTACATGGAGCGTGGCGGGGGCTGGAGGGTTACCCCCGCTGGGTATAATAATCAACGTCACGGACCTTTGACGGTGAGTTGGTTTGCATGCAGGTAGAAGCGTCTGATTATAGGGCTCCAATGATACAGTTCCATTCTACAAGATTGTATTCAAGTAGGTTGGGCGGCGTGAGCAATAAACAGTCATGCACTTTACTGTGAAAGTCAAGTTGAGGCACCAATGTAATGTAACACGAACTGGTTTACATTTTCTGTACTATTTACTACAATAGATTAAAAGTTAGCAAATAATAATAATAATAATAATGTCTCGTCCTCATCACACACTCAGACTTTGGCAAAGCACTCACGAGAGTGTGAAAGACTTGGTGTAAATTCTTTACATAAATTTCACAAATGTGTGTTTTTATCCTATTATGTTTGTGAGAAGACATTACCATTATTTAATAATGATAATAAATGTTTCATATAATTTTGTATTATAACTTGAAATACCGTAATGTTTACCCTGTAAACATACAAATTCGTCTAGATAAACTAGTAAGTTGGTCCAAATATATAAACTGAGTAATATTATAGATAAATGTAAAATAGTACTTACCAGAAACCAAATCAAGAAGGCAGGGTTTTGAATGAACAACATTGAGCTTACGAGGGTAGAAATAGCCCAAGCTACTCTATCCATTCGAGATGTACTTCCTTTTCTCATTAAAATTACTTGAACTTGAACTTAAACATAGAGCTTATGAATGTTATAGATAAAATTACTTCAGTTATTTTTTAGTATTTAATATTTGCTACTAGTTCAGTGGTCAGGCGAAGCTGGACTATAAAAAAGGCCTTTCAATATCAAGTAGCCTCGTTTGGATCGAATGATGAAAGACGCTGTGGGCCTCCTTCAGTGCTCTTGAGATACTTTTTATTCCTCGACATGCAACACACGAAAGGCAGGCAACGGCCTACTTCTTCATGAGTTCAAGTGAACTCTCAGTGTATGTGCGCACTATATATCTTCCGGTAAATATATCAAAGCGTACACCTCCCATTAGATAACATCTCCCGGTAAGGGTATCAAGAAATATACCTCCCGGTAAACTTATCAAGAAGTACACGTCCCGGTAAACTTATCAAGAAATACACCTCCCGGTAAACTTATCAAGAAGTACACCTCCCGGTAAGCGTAGATCCTCTTTTCTGAGAAAC